CATCTATCTCATCAAATATCGGACCAGTTCCACTCAACGTGCACACTTTGCAATCTATGTTCACGAAGGGGCTTTTCCTGGAAAAGGAATACTGATACACGTGGTCGGTGCACCAATGGCCGGTTTCCAGCTCGAAATTAAGGAGAATTACGACCTGGCTGCAACCTTGCAACAATATACATCACATCTCCTTGGACAAGTGCCTGCATCATCAACTGCTGCTATTCGACAACTTGCTTCTACAGTCAGACCACCTGGAATAAGTCAAAATTTTATGGCTCCAGTTGATGGGGTAGATGAAAGATATTCTCGTTAATTTCTAGCGCTTGCTAACGCTTCGTTAGGTTAACAACAAGCGTTGCCAAGAATGGACCGCAGAATATGTCCAGCTACTCGTTCAGCGACAATTTCTTAATCAGACTGCTCGCCAGATACTTCAGTCAGAGCGAGATCCCCCAGCCTTCGGGATTGGTCTGAACCCAGTTGGCCGAGGCCGAGGTCGCGGCAGGGGCAATTGACGTTCCTTTGGGGATTGTTTAAAGGGAAGCCGTTGTCGACGCGAGTTAGCGAGTGCTCTTAGAGAACTTGATTCGTCGGGATCTATAGTTGAGTACGTTCTTGAAGAAGATAACTGGAGGTGGATCGATGATCGCATAAGGAATCACCTTCCATCTCATCTGTGAGGAGGTGAGAATACCACACATCGTTGCAGACTGAAAGGGGTCTTTTTTTCTACAATGGAGTTGGGCGCCAATCGATACCATATTTTAGCATCGCCTTTTTCAGGAACTCTGAATAGCCAGGAACAAGAACGATTTGTATTGTACTGAACTACTGAAGGACCGGGCATACTCTAAAGATAAGTCGCCCTCGTCAATGCAGCTGGATTCCCACTTCTGTTGTGAACCTCTTCTTGCCAATAGAACCTTTCCTTATAACTCCTCTTCAACCTAATCCTGAATCAGCCTCTCTTGCGCATCCGAACCGCTGGTAACCCTAAATTTCCGTGAATCACAAGCTACAACCTCCTCTAACCCCTATATTGAAATGCTTAAACAGTGGTCTCGAGGCTACGGACAATCAAAGAGGTGTTGGGCGTAAACGGTCTTTGTTAGACATCTTTTTTTCGCTCATATTGATCTCTCTCAGCTATCACCGACAGTTCTCCTAATCTTCGGAAGAGGGCTGGAGCTAGCGCCTGTTGCTTGGTGTAAGGGAAGTATGTTTGTTCAAGACTTGCCAGATTGGTGGCTTTGCGGCCTGCTGATATCTTCTTGCGAGAGTTGATGCGGCAACAAGAAATGCCTCACCCGGAGGAATATTTACGCTCCTTTTTACTCTATAAACAGATAGAGAACCTCCTCCTAGTGAGCGAGCACAGACTCGTCAATGCATCATATTGGGACCCCGGACTATCAGTTGGTCTAGTGTACTTGCCGTCTAACAGAATGCTCCTGTTGAGTAGGGCCGCCTCTGGTCACACGCAGGTGCTTCTGAAATCTCTTTCTCTCATCTGTATGCCAATTTAAGGCCTTTGCACTTTCTATCTCCGAGTTGCTGCTTACGTAATGCTTCTCGTTCATAATTCGATATCAGCAACTCCCACCTCCGTTGAAAACGTTACAAATGCGCTCCGCGCTCCTCGTCCAATACTTTTGCTAGTAGCTATTGGCGTTCAAACCCCAGCCTCCCGAATTATCTTCAAAAAGTGTTCTATTCGAACGCGGATAGACGGCAAGAGTAATTGTCAACTTTATCAATCGAAATTGACGGAACTACCAGCCAGAGTGTTTAGTCTTTCAAAAGAAGCAACACCGGATTCATTGTCCTTCCCCAATTAATATCTAGTGGCATATTATATCGAAACTTCTCTCCGATCTGCTAGTTTTATCTGTCTGGCTGCTTGTGAACTCAATGGAAGCAAAATCGGAGCAATACAGTAAGCAGCTCCAGGATCTAGTGAGATCGCGATTATGGCAGCATTCCTCTTCAGGGAGCGCGATGTCATTCACTGAAGGGTAAGCCCTTCCGTCGGCATACTATTCTCTGCTGACAAAAAAAGGGCCCCAAGGCGACTTATGGAAAGAAGCTTAGCAAGATATCAGAATGAGGCGCAAGAACGGCAGAGCTGTAAAACGCAGAGAGCTAAACCCTTGACTGAGCTCTCTTCAATCAATCTAAGCACACAGACGGGCACTATTGTCCAGAGCCAGCCTGTTCGTCAAGACGTTTCCGCATTATCAACTCAGAAGAAAGAGCCAATGTGTGGGCGTGTGCGTGCTGCACAATATATCTCCAAACGACGAAGACAAGCGGCGGAGTCTGAGCCGATACAAGTTCAAAAGAGCAGATCTGAGTTTTTGTAGAACAACAAAAGAGCACAACGGCATCGAACAAAGCCAGTCACCGATCAAAGGAGCTGGTGACCAAATGTCAAGTGAATTTTGAGGTGTATAATTTTGACATAGTGACCTCCGTCCCGGTGCCTAGAAGCATGGCTGCAGCTTCTGCTTTCATATTGGGATCAAAGCCTCCTCCTTTTCCTCTTCCTCTTCCCGGCCGCTTCTGCTTGGGCAGAGTTTGGCGGATCCGTGGCCACATCCGCCGTCGGCAATTTGACAATTTGAAGTCCCATCAGGTCCTGATACTCGCCATCCCCAAGGCATCGGCGCAGGGATGACTCGGGCAGCCGCCGAAGAGCCGATTGGGCACGTTCAAATCTGCCTCGCCATGCCTCGTGTTCTCGTTCCCATGTCTTGAGTGACTTAGTGACCTTGATGTCGTAATGCTCTCCTCTTTTCTCCCTCGTCGTCGTGTAGTGAAACGGCAGGTGGCGAGTGAAGTCGTAATACCGATCCTCAGAAATGGTGAAGTCCCAGTCCTCTCGGCTTGGATTCCCCAGAAACTCACGCACAACAGGGCAGTAAGTACAGTCTGACCAATAGCACTCTCGGGCATCGTCCGGTAGGGACCAGTCCTGCGGCTTCGGAGGCTCCTTCTGAACCGTCCTCTCAATATAGGTGGAGATGACTTTGGAATAAAATGGTGCAGCCTCGGATGGTTGACGCTCTAGGATATCGATCATTTCGCACAGGAGTGGGATGACAAAGCGGTCGAGGTCGTCTTGGTGGATACTTGCAGTGTCATTCGCGATCTTCTCAAGGAACTGTCCCGCCTTGTCCAAATCATCTCTCACAAGTTGACGATACAGTGACGCAACAACAGAGGCATCCTTTTCGCTCTTCTCGCTGTGTGAAATGATGTCGGGCCACGACGAAAATGGATAGTCTTCCCTGGGTTTCGAAAGAGACCAAAATTGATCCAACCGGAAAGAGGAGATTGCCTTGTCGAAAATTGATGGAACGAGACGTTGCACAAGCAAGTTTGGTTTCTGAACCGTTTCGGAGTAGCAAAGGATTTCCGCGAAGAGGGTGTTTATGAAGGTCGCGTCATCGGAAAAACGACTCACGAAAGCGTTCATGCTATATGAGCAGAGGATAAGCCAGCATCCTTGTAAAGAGAAAAACGAACCAGATGTGTCTACATGGTGAAGAAAACTTACCTTCCTAAAAGTCTTTCGTCTTCATAGGCGTCGATGATCTGAACTATGGCTCCTGCATCCTTAGGCAAGACCTCTACGATCGAACTCAAAGCCTTCAAGAGGACATCTACAGCCCATTGGTAGACGGCACGTTCTGATGCTTCACTGGCGTCCAATTGAACATCACTCGGTACACCAGAGCGGAATGCTCGGAGACCACGAGCAACGAGGTGCAGTTTCGAAATGCGAGAGAAAGCTTCTGTACAACTAAAATAGTAGTTTAGCGGAGGCTGAAATACAATTCACATCCATGCTTACAATTGTCTCGTTTTCTCAAACCCCAGTCTACCGAGGTTCTGGAAGGTAGATGCGTCGAAGCTGTCCTCCACGGCGTAAAGGGCCGCTTGGGCTGCCTCAGGATTCTCGATTTGTAGTGACGCTATTGCTGTTGCGCCCATGAAACGATCTTTGTCACCACTGTTATGGTACCGTCTTTCGGTGTGCTTTTGGCATGTCTGGACGATCATTTCGCGGAAGAGATGACCTTCATCGCCATTCTGGCCCTTCAGCTCAGCGAGAAGCCGTTGGAGAAACTCCGCGTAATGGGCAAAGGTATGGCCATTTCCAAGGAGAAATTCCGTCATCTTGTCCCGAGAAACAATGACAGCGACCTAAGAGATTGTAAGCACGGATTTGGACTTGAAATAAGCACCACGCGTACAGCATCACGGTAAACTTGTTGGATGTCAGCGTGTTGATTGCCCAAGTGTTCCCCTCCCCATTGTTCATCGTGTTCACGAGACTCATATAATCTTCTTTGTGCGAGACTGTCCTTCCTTATGGTCAAGGAATGCTGAAGCTGGAACCCCTCTAGTGTGACAATATCGTTCAAACAGAGCTCTTCGTCGCCCTGGTCCAGGTATTCCTCGTCGTCCTGATCCAGGTAGTCCTCGTCGTTAATTCGAGTGACTGTCAGCTCCAGCCGGGCCAAGACAAGACAGAAACGACCGTTTGACCGGCAAGCTCGGTCGAGCTGACAACAGCGATAATAGTCATCACCTTTCAGACCGCTGAGTCGGAGTTTTGCACTGGTGTATTTGTGCTGGAGAACGTAGCACATGAACCGTGGTTTATCTGACATAGAACACCACTCGGCGAGTGTGGCCTCGATGTTGGACTGTTCAACGTCCAGTGCAGCGGCCGAAGGATGACGGTCAGAAGTAGTGTTAATAAGGTTGTATGTCAAAACGAACCGGTACCCGGATTGAACTGACAACACCTGTTCTTGTGAGTCGCGATATTGTATCTGACTGATACAGTGCACCTACCTCATGGGACACATCACTATACCTTCACGGCCTGTCAGCGTTGAAATACATTGAGCGAGGTCTCAGCTTACCAAGCCAGATAAGAGACGCCGTAAGAGGAGCACTTGTCCGTCTCGAGAACTCTTTCGTCCAGACCGTGAATGAGGCGCACCCCGCCGCCAACGTGCTCGCAGGGTAGGCAAATGACCAGAGTTCCAAACATGTCTTTCGTCTTCTCCGTGCTATGATGAGTCAGTATTGTGCAAGATATAGAGCTGTCCTTCGGTCATACTCTTTGTGAGGCTTGAAAAAGGCGCCCTTTTCATACACCAGTAACTTGTAGAGCTCAGCTCGTACATTGCCAGCACCGCCATGGACGCCTAGGCCCTTGGAGACATTTCCGACAACACCATCCAGCCAGTTATACCAGGCTTCATGTTTGAATGACAACTCTTTTCCATCGATCTCCCAAGTCTTCCTCACAGTCTCATCAACCAACGTTTTGCTCCCCTTGCCGAATGGAGCGCGACGGCTCACTCCAATGAGAGCGTTGGCATCATCCTGGCACAAGGGAAGTCGAATAGGACCGATACCACTGACCACCAGGCCAGGGTGAACGTGCTCGACGTCGTGGGCGCTTGTTACAAATGACCCTACAGTATGGATTCCATCAAGACAACCTAAGATCTGAGATCGCAAGGGTTCGAGGTGGTCTTCTTCGTCCGAAAACCCTTCTTCGCAGCTCATGGTGAAAAATGGACAAGATACTCACAGCCTCTGTGTAGACTCGAATGCGTATTCCTGTCCAACGATTGTATAACGGAGACCGAAATAGAGGGTAATGGAAGCAGATGAGAAAGCCTATCCTGAAGTGCTGTGTGCAAGAAAACGAAGGTCATAAAGGAAAGGACCCTTAAGGGGAAACACTGTTGCACTCAGTAAGTACTGTTACAGTAACACTCCCAAGGGTGCCTACGGCTGCTGCGGAGAACCAGCAGCCTGCTTTGTCCGCCGTCAGCATGAAACTCGCCAGGGTGGAAGCAGTCAGTGATATGGGAGATCGGGACACGATTTCAAGCCCTCGGCGCCTGAGGAATGGTTGATTGGATCAGAGGGTGTGAGTCAGGCCAGAGCCTACAGGGTTTAGGCAACCACGAGAGCCTTGTGGGAAGGTGTAGCGAGTCGCCGAAGACTAAATCATCCTGAGTGGATGTGGATGCAACAGGGGCACAGGGCTTACTTGTCTGAAGCTGACTGATTGTCCAAAAACCACAGGTTTCGAGGCGCATAGTTACCACAGCGGCTTCGTGGTAATACTATCACGTGTCTAGCCTCGTCCCGCTTCGTCGCGATCTCTTGCCCGGGTCATCGCACGTGACTTTCATTTTTGGTCGAGAGTGTAAATCACGTGAGAGCTGTAACGCGGTTGGCTTTGTGATGAATAATGATACTCTCTGCAAACGCGGCGAGGCCAAGCTATGCTTCCTGGGAGACAATGGACTTCATAACTTCGGCTGTGTCTTCCGCTATGCACTGAACAATCAAACCTTCAATGTCATCGCGACGCCTACCAACAAAAGCGAGAGACAGCCTATGAAATACTAGCTCATACCTAGAACCTAAGAAAGTCCCATCTGTTGTGATATGAGGCTCAACCAACTATCGCGACATTTATGAAAGTCTCATGGAATCATTCCGCATACTTGGAAATTGTAGGGAAGCTTCTAGTATGTCACTTCGATGTATATATACTTCTACTTCCTTAGGAAGTAGAAGTAGAATAAGGATCAATCTACGCTTCCACTGCCATAATCCACAACACCATCCAGTCATATCATCCAGACACTAGCAAGTCAAATGCAGCACCAATGTCTCCTTCAGAAACTCATCAACAGCCATCCACTCTTACGAGGCTGCTCAGTCTTCGTTTTACCGTACAGCCATCAAGTTACGGCCTACTAGCCTTTCTTTGTTGTCAATATTTTACCTTAGGGCTAGTTACTGACACATCCTACGTTCTCATGATCATCACCACTGAGTAACAATGATTTTGTCCCAAGTTCATGAGCCCCTCCACTCAGCATGGGAAGCTATGGAGAGCATCTCTACAAGCATTTTTTGACCCTACATACCGACCCTGTGTATTACGAGACGAGGCAAAGGACTGATGCTGTTACCTTCCAGCCATTCACTTTAAAATCTGCAACCTGGGAAGGACAAAAAAATCCTCGAGCGTGGCAACGGATTTTGCCATATTCAGTACCGTCATTGGTAAGTAGGGACGTCGAGAAGTTCACATAGCGCCACGCGAAGGCCTCACCGGTCGGAAGGCCATGACTCCCGTTCCTGCCTCAATCACTGCCCGCAAAAAATGATCGAATTTAGGGTCAACTGAGTCAGGTAGTCCTATACAATCGGTATCAGAGTCGAGAAAGACCGAATACTTGACTCCGATCCTTATCTTCGCAACGATCCACCGTGTAAAGTCATGTCCCACTTGTGCCCTCCACAGGCAGTCATGTCCGCCAGCTGCAGACCCCTAAACTACACAGCTATGCCAATCCCAAGCCTCAATTGAATTCTTCGTGAGATTCAAGACGACAGGATTGCTGCCTCCTTGCCTGCTAGTAGCCCGCATCCTCGACCTATAGTTCTACGTATGCAGAACCTTCAGAGGGACTATCTGGGGGCGTTGTTGGTGAAAACTTCTTGTATGCCTGCGTAACCTGGTCCCAGGTATAGTTGATAGGTTGACCGTCGTGGGGCGTGATACTGATCACAATCTCATCGGCAGAATAGTGTGAGAATGCCCTGGCTCCAGCAAGTTGA